AAATCTCTCTCCTGCTGACTCACAGTGGCTTGTCTAGCATGTGTCAGTGTAGTCATGGTTATATTATAAAAATCTGTGAATGTAATCAAATAAACTAAAAATGCTAAAAGTCTATTTGCTTGGTTATATATAGTTACGGTTAGGGCTGGGTGGGGATTAAGGTTGTCATAGTAGGACTTAGGGTTTTTCCGACAGAGATGATTGAAGACCCATAAATCTGTGTGTCTATGCGTGTGCGTCTGTGTGTCTGCGTCTGTGCGTGTGCGTCTATCTGTGTGTCTATGCGTGTGCGTCTGTGTGTCTGCGTCTGTGTCTGTGCGTGTGCGTCTATCTGTGTGTCTATGCGTGTGCGTCTGTGTGTCTGCGTGTGCGTCTATGCGTGTGCGTCTGTGTGTCTGCGTCTGTGTCTGTGCGTCTATCTGTGTGTCTATGCGTGTGCGTCTGTGTGTCTGCGTGTCTGCGTGTGTGTCTATGCGTGTGCGTCTGTGTAGCTGCATCTGTGTCTGTGCGTGTGCGTCTATCTGTGTGTCTATGCGTGTGTGTCTGCGTGTGTGTCTATGCGTGTGCGTCTGTGTGTCTGTGCGTGTGCGTCTATCTGTGTGTCTATGCGTGTGCGTCTGTGTGTCTGTGCGTGTTCGTCTGTGTGTCTGCGTGTGTGTCTGTGTGTCTGCGTGTGTGTCTGTGCGTGTGCGTCTATCTGTGTGTCTATGCGTGTGCGTCTGTGTGTCTGCGTGTGTGTCTGTGCGTGTGCGTCTGTGTGTCTGTGTGTGTGTCTGTGCGTGTGCGTGTGTGTCTGTGCGTGTGCGTCTGTGTGTCTGCGTGTGTGTCTGTGCGTGTGCGTCTGTGTGTCTGGGTGTGTGTCTGTGCGTGTACGTCTGTCTGTGTGTCTGCGATCTCCTCTCGCGGCTGCTGCACTCCCATTCAATGCGTCCGGGCCCTCGTGAGTAGGAACCGCCTTCAGGATCTCCTCTCACAGCTACTCTGCTCCCGTTCAGTGCACCTGAATCCTGGTGAGGAGGAGTCACCTTCGGGATCTCCTCTCGCAGCAGCACTGCTCCCGTTCAGTGGAGTGCATCGGTCACATTACACTGCATTTATCTTCCTGCAGGCCATTTAAACCCCCAGTGGGATCTCATGCATGGTTTCCCTGCAGCATGTTGTAGGCTGACAAAATGAGGGCCGGGTTTCCACACCATATACCTACTCTGTGGCTTCGCTTGTTCAGGCTGCTAGTCCTACTTATTCATCTCAAACCCAACCTCTCTGGTTTCAGAGCCCATTTTCTGAGAAGTGGCGGACTTCGTGCAGGAATCCCCTTTATATCCGTGGCTATGCCGAGACCAACGCAGCGACACAGCTGTGGGAAAATGCTAGTGGTCATCTGGTGAGATCTCATCACTACATAATCATGAAGGTTGTCATAGTAGGACTTAGGGTTTTTCCCACAGAGAACCTTCCCGAGGGATTAATAAAGTACTATCTATCTATCTATCTATCTATCTATCTATCTATCTATCTATCTATCTATCTATCTATCTAGGTAAATGACATTGTTTTTTACATGCAACACTGTGTCATGTATTTACTGACTCAATTGATGGATTTTTCAATGCACAATTTTATATGTTACAGATTTTAACCACTGAAAACTGCTGGAAGGGTATAAAGAAATGCAGATTTAATAGCCAGTTGCTGAAAACCTGGAAGCTATTTACAGAGAGCTTTTGGATTAAGCTAGTGTGAAACCTGCACGTCGATGCTGTATATTACAGTAAAGATGGTGCCTAACTAATGCCACCTGTGGCATAAAGCAGTACTAAGATTAAATGCACATGACAATTACACAGTACAGTCAGTGGGAAAGTGAGAAGATTGCATACTGCCCTCTGTTGGTTACTTGGTGCATTTGTATAAAATTGAGAACATGACTGATTCTCTGAAAGAAAAAAACACAGTGCTGTAAATGAGAGATTTCCTATCAACAATGAAATCCACCTTCGTCATCCCCCCATTTTTAATGTCATGTTTGCCTCTTAACCCAGACAGCCGAACTCAGCGGCTGAACCGTAACCCATCCAGCCAGCGCGTCTGCATGTTGGGGGCAAGAAGCTTGCTAAGCAGCTGCATCTGCGGCTGCAGGGAGAGAGACGTGCGCCTGCCGGTCTGCAGTCCTCCCTTACTGCCCCAGCACGCTGGCTCTG